ACCAGAGCCCTCATTTTTACCCTTTTATCCCATCTTTGCTTGGCAGATGATTTTGGCGATTTTTGCCACCGGGCATCCCAGCTAGCCAATGAGTCAAGTGGTGCTCCCTTGTTTACGGTTACTCAAACCCAAAAACCGTCAAAGCACGTTAGCCATGGTGATGTTTTGGCAGACAGCGGTGGGGTTCAGGAGGATGATTCCTTTGGTGTGACGCCTGTGGGAGATGGGGATGACTGGCAATTCGTTTGACCCGCAACAACATTCATTTTCCCTGTTTTTCTTCTACATGATTGTGTTGTACACTTAAAAAACTTAATGCAACCATGATTAGGCTTCAGTCACTTTCACTATTCCAAACCTTTGTAGAAAGTATCACACACATTCACGATTCTTTTTCTTTCAAAACTAATTGCAATATGTTCATAATTCATATGATATTGATGGTGTATAATAAATGTCATTATTTTCTTCCTTTTCATACTAAGATGTTGTTGTTAATCTGTTATTATGCCCAGTTCTTTTAACTCAAAAAAAAAAGGGGGCCACTACTTCTACATTACAGAATCTGAAGCATGCAACATGAAGAACTTCCATTTCATGCTAAGATGTTGCTGTTAGTCTGCCCAGTTCTTTTAACACCAAAAAAAAAAACTACTTCTACATTACAGAAACTGAAGCATGCAACATGAAGAACTTCTGCATTATAGGTTGGGAAACAAAAAGTTTAACTACTGATTTATACAATGAAAGAAGACGCTGAGAATGGAAAACCAGAGAACTCCATAGGAGTATGGACATGGTTCCACTTAGTATTGCCATTCCTTTCCCTCTCCATTATGAACCCCGTTTCGCCTTCACATCCGCCACCACAATTGTCGCCGCCGCCGCCGCCACGGCTGCTCATCACAAATACCCGGTGGCCGTCCTCTCGAGTGCCATATGCAAGATTGGTCACGCATGGAGGTGTCCCAATTATGCTTCTCGAAAGTTTAATTGTGCTCACTGTCTTCCAAGGCTTCTCCTTTGCTTCTTCGTGCTGTTGTTGCTCTTCTTGTTCACTCCCCAAAAACCACCACCACTGGCGCTGCTGTCCGGAGCTCACGGCGGCAGTGCAGCCTCTGGGGCTGGTTCTAGAAAACGGCCAGACCCCTTCTACCTTGTACCAAGATCCAGTTTCAGGATCGTAACACTCAGCATCCGACCCGAACTCGCCCTGTCTTTCAGTGCCATAACCGCTCACAACCCAGAATCTGGAATCCCCATCCCAGGAGAGCCCCTGGCACTCGTCTCTTTCTTCCGCCATATCCGGCAACATTTCCCACCGATCTTCCTCGACATCGTACACCTCCGCCGACCGAAGCGCGTTCTTCTGATCATCATGCCCTCCCGCGACGTACACCTTGGTCCCACTGACAACCGCACACGCAAAGAAGGAGCGTGGCACCGACATGGGAGCCGCGCGTCTCCACCTGCCACCACCTGAAACCAAATCAAGGATATACACATCGGCGACCGGCTCTAGAGTAACCGGATCCCATCCCCCCAAAAGCATCAATTTCCCAGAAGACCCAAGCGCCAAACACTGGCAGAACATCGGGATTCGCCCGACTTTAGGCCTAATCCGATGCCAGGTACCCCTGGTCTCGTTGTAGATGCTCATCCCGCACTGGCCCTGCTGCTGATTTCGCCGATCATCCTCATCCTCCTCCTCCTCTTTCTTGACACCGGCTTCGGTCCTCCCACAAACGCCATCTCCCTGATTTCCGTGAATCGAATCCGGTGGCGGGAAACCCGTCATAGGCTGGATTAAGCACACAAGATGCTCCGCCGCACCGGATTTGATTCGTTCTCGATAAAAGAGAGGACTGGAAATCAAGCTCCGCCAACTATGGCACACGGATTTCATGTTGGAGTGAAACTGGCAAGACACTCTCACTAAACACTCCATGGCTATTTCATCCGGCAAACCGGGAATCAAGGCCCGCCCTTCTCCTCCTCCGCCAGCACATCTCCCTTTTGTTTTCTCAGTCACCTCCATTGTTACAGATGAAGAAGAACGACATGGGGTTATGTTATATAGAAGTGAAAGCCTATGGAGTTTCCATAATTAAGGTGGCTGCGGGTGGGAACCGCCAGCCCATATGAGTGGTGTCCTAACATCATTAAGACATTTTTAACATTATATTCAGGTAACTAACTTTTAAATTTTCTCCAATTTTTTTTTTATTTACAATAAATTATTTATATTAATTTTTACATATATCAAAAACTAATTTTTTTAGTGATTTTAAATCAATTTGATATATTTAAAAAAATTAACCTCAATAAAGTACTTCAACAATTAAAATTTTGAGAATTGAAGTTAGAGATCACAAATTCAAGTTTTAAATCAAGTGGAGAGAAATTTAGAAATAATGAATGAGTATTTTTTTATATATAATTCATAATAAATATATCAAAAAAATTATTCAAAAAATTAATTTTTTTAAATATTAATTAAGATTTTAATTTTAAACTTGATATATAAAATTATATTTGTTTATCAATAAATTTAACTGTAATATTTTAACTTTTAATTGATAGTACTTAGAGTAATTCAGTGTCTTGGGTTAATATTACAAAATCTAACTATTGTTAAACCATATTTAGAAGAACTGTTAATAATTATTGGTGAATATTAGGGAGTGTTCAATTTAAAATGAATAAAATTTTTAAAATTTTTATCTATCTCAAAATTTTCTTTTGTTTAATTGGAAGTTAAAAATGCATTTCCACATTAATCTGGGGCAAATAAGACACTCTAATCTTTAATTTACAGTAGCAGAACGATTGGTGGAAATAGATGCAAATTCTTGAGCGGACAATTGAGGCGGCTGATTTCCATTGATGTGGATCATGTTTATTAAAATAATTTTAAAAAAAAATGCGCAGAAGGTCCATATGCTTACATCCAATAGACAGAAGTTCCATCTTCTAGAAGACATGCAATTTAAGCATTGAATTAACTCGTAAATAAATGTTATTTTATAAATTAAATATAAAATATAAAATTAATATTTTAAAAATTATTTTTTTAAATATAGCATATCAATATGAAAAACATGCTTTTGACATTATTTAAAAATAAATTATTTTTAAACTATATAAAAACTAGTTCAAACATAATTGATAGTAAAAAATCTTATGTTATAGTCTGAACTGTACCAAACTGTAACATTAGGATCATAAAAAAAATAAAAGAGAAAGGGTGGGACTCAATATCAGGGCCCTACTCTTTTTTTTATTTTTTTGGTGGTTATGATGTTACAGTCCGGACTGTAACACACTTTTTTTTGATAATAAATTTAAAGAAAAAGGTCTTCTAGAAGGCATGTGGATGTGGGATGTGCACCACGTGGTGTGGGGGCCTACTCCTTATGGCATCT